CCCGTGTCATGTCTCCCGTGGTCTTTTCAATTCTTGGTGCCGGATAGGCTCCTGTGGTAGGCTTCCTCAACCATGCCGAACCCCCCGCAGGCCTGCATTCCCGAATATTGGATAGTGCCCGTTCTTTGTAAAGAAGCAATTTCACAGCAGTTCAATTTGCCAACAGCTTACAATAATGAGTCTCATTACATTTTCAAAGTACTGACACGATTGTATTGCGATCAACATCTCCGTCTTTTATCCTCACCTCAACCCATGTGTCAACGGAACCGCACGTAGCCCTCCAATCCAGATGAAAAACAACTAGAAACCCCCGCCTCCAAAATCACCTCCGCCTCCACCAAAATCACCGCCGAAGCCGCCGCCGCCACCAAAATCGCCTCCTCCTCCTCCCCAGTCCCCGCCCTAGTGAGTGAGAGAGACAAGTATGTGTGAATACGATCTTTGATGTGAAGTATCGTAAGCTCAAAGAACACTCACAAATCCTCCCCCTCCAAAATCTCCACCACCACCACCGAAGTCTCCACCTCCCCCTCCAAAATCTCCTCCACCGTAACCGAAATCTCCACCCTGCGCCACAATAGCACCCAAAACAAACGGTGTGTTGAAGTTAGTTTCTCTTTCATGAACGTCACAGTCACGGACAGGCAACGCGACGAAACCACTTACCACATAACCCCCCGCATCTCCACCCCAATCGCCTCCACCAAAGCCACCTCCGTGGTCAAATCCAACATCTCCCGGTCCGAAATAGCCTGCGCCACCGAAATCACCACCGAACCCGCTGATTATCGCGTTCGAGATCAGTTGGACCTCGGCGGATTACCATTGCGATCGAAACTCACTAGCCGTAATCAAAGCCACCAATCCAGCCGTACCCGAATCCGTAGCCATAGAAGGGGCTCCACATCAAGCTCATCAACATAAGTGCGGTCTGTGAAGTAAGGTTTTTGCATTCAGTTTGGCGACTGGTCTGCTGATGACGATTCGTACCCACCGGATCATAATAACCGTACCCGTAGCCATAGCACGGTACAACATCAACTATCGCATACGGGCTCCGCACGCCCTGTCCCATGACTTTGTACACTCCTCGGAACACGGCTCCCACCTGAACGGCCCACCTTGTGCGCGTTTGGTCATCGAGCGGTGGAAGGCCCGGTGGAGGTGGTGCGGTCTCCTGGAGTTGGTACAGAGGGGTGGCCGAAACTTGAGGTACGCTCAGTTCCTGACCGCTAAACTTTGCGGGCGGCCGGAAGGTGGGATACGATGTTGGAGGTGTGGTCGATCGAATAAGAAAGATGATATGATGGTCTGGGACTGAAACATTGACGTGGGGGACGAAAAAAGTGAGTATCGATGAGAGCTCTTCGTGTGGTATGACGTCTCACCTCCTCCAACGTCAATAACGGCAACTCTCGCCTTTCCGTTCGCACAAAGTGGCTGGAAGAACCTCGTTGAGAGAATTTGTGCCCACATGGCTTCTGTTTTGTTTGGAAAGAGTTTTCTGGCTTCCTTGAAGATCTCGGGGTCCGAAAAGAGGAAGTGCTTTCCACCGAAAGGGAAAATATAGAGCGTCAGTAAGCGGCTGCCTGTAGATTCAGCTTAGCAAACGAGAGGGCCAAGGTCTTACAAGACGGAAAATCGTAGGCTTTGTACCCTTTGGTAGTTTCTTTTGCAAGGGTCGCAAAGAACTGACTCGAGGGACATACCTGTAGATTACGGCACCCACAAACAGATGGTCAACAGGAGAACAACGGCAAGCCAGGTCCTATGATGACACAAGACTCACTGTAAGTACATCATCCCACCATTACCTCGCTTGCTCTTATAGCCACATTTTTGTTCGGCGAGGTTGTTGTTAGCGAGTGGTCCGACTATTTGCAGGTCTGCAGGCTCCCTGAAGACCAAGCTTAGAGTCCGGAGTCCCGGCTTCTGTGGATCTGGTGATGTAGCGTCGGCAATGTGAAGGAGTTCGGTGTAGGACGACGCTGCTCGTGGAGGTGCGGCTGGCGCAGGCACATGATTCACATCGCCGGAAATGGCAGAATATGCAGGAGGAGCGCCCGCAGTTTGGTCTGCTGCTCGTATAGCGGCAGCGTACTCTTCACCGAGCACGATAAAGGGCATAACTGGATTCCCGAAGAGGTTGAGTGTGGCTACTGACAGACGAGGAAGCACATAAACGAAACATACCTGCAGTTTTCCTAGCTGTATGATTGCTACTGAGACCCCAACCATCTGTGAAAACGCGTGTGGAGTGATCTGTCTCCGTTGCCCCCCTGAACAGCCGATGAGAACTAGTACGCACCTCCATAGTTGACGTGGACTTCAACGACATCTCCAACAGCCACAAGAAGCTCTGATGGAAGAAAACAAATCTATCTGAAATGAAGTTGCAGCTCATATGCAGCAAGTGTGACGGAGAACTCACCGTCCTGAGAGCGGGGCTCGTGAGAATGACGTGCATTGAAACGCTTTCCGATTGGGTTGAAGTTGGGTTCAATCGGCGGATCAGGGACGGCACTCGCTACTGGTGGAGCGGATTCTGGAGCTTGTTGGATCTGTGGACCGGATGTGAGGGAGGTTGATAGGGCAAACCACTGTCAGCGATGGGGTTGATCACTTCCATGGGCTCACAGAGCTCACAGGAGGAGGGCCTGGTGGAGGCCCTGGTGGTGGGGGCCCAGTGGGTGGAGCAGGAGCGACTGAGTAGAAAGGGTTCGCCGTCGCTGCCATGGGTCGATGTGATGGTCTGATGTTTTGCGTGACGCTGTCTATATATCCTCTATATGAGCAGGTCGATGATCCACAGACATGTGCACACGAAAAGAGTTCAGCCGTTGCCTGACCCGAACCTCGCACAGCCTTCAAAAGTACGGAGAAACTTGATTTAATCCTTCCTCTTTTCACCATCTCCAGACTCCAGAGTATTCATCGATTGATCATAAGCCGCGATGCCCATCGACCATGTAAGCCTTTCCGTCTCCTCTGTCAGCGAGTCCCGGGACTTCTATCTCCGAGCTCTGGCTCCACTCGGCTACAAGATTTTCAAGGAGATCAAACACTCCAACGACGGTAATTCGGAGATCCTTGTCGTCGGCCTGACAGCGGGCTACTCAGCAGACTTCTGGCTGGCTCCGGGGGTATCGAACGGATCACATATTGCGTTTTCCGCGAAGTCTCGGGCGCAGGTGGACGAATTCTACAAAGCAGCTATCGCGGCTGGTGGGAAAGACAATGGAGGGCCTGGAATCCGAACATATCATAAAGTGAGTACTGACGCCTCACTCTACCGAAATTTCAGTGACTGTGATGATGAATGACGTGGACGGCGGTTCACGTTGTCGTGTTCCACTCAGGGTTACTATGCCGCATTCGTACTCGACCCGAACGGATACAATGTGGAGTGTGTCTATCACGACTTTTCTGCAATGCTGTGGGGTTGGTTGGGTTGGTGAAATCAACAATCAGGAGCGGGTTCGATTCCGTCCCATTAGTCTTGAAAATGGCTACTAGCACATATATATTTTTTTTGTTTGGATCGATCGTTGACAATATTATGTCTCATACAACGCGAAAGTACATAGACACCGGCAACCAGCACCCTTCCATTCTGCCATCCATATCTGCACTATAAGTCAGCTAAACACGAGAAGCGGCAAATAGGAGGTATTCTACTGGAACATATGTTGTGCGCGCGCAGGAGACGCAACTAACAACGATGTCAGTGGGGGTAAGAGGATCACCAAGCATGAACTTCGACCATCACAAGACGTAATGAAGTTATCGCAAGCTAGGGGAACTTCGCACTCCTCCTTCATCCCCTCCTCTTTCCCGCACCATGGCCCATCGTGTCATGCTTGCGATAACTTCAAGGGGACATCAAATTATGAAGAATTTGTGGATTATATGATCTGTTGTTCCTGCAAAACTAATCTGAATGCCCTAGTGGCACAGTGGTAGCGCGCCACTCTCGTAAAGTGGAGGTCCAGTGTTCAATCCACTGCTGGGGCATATTTTTGACTAAGATCCCGGGCGACAGTGAACTCCGATTTTCGCCACGCTCACTTTCTGATTCTGTGTTCAGCATAATAATCCGAGCATACGTGTTCCGTTCTTGGCACAAATCCATGCGCTAAAGAGCTGCCCCCTCAGCTCGAGAGGGATCGGTGCTGCTCGTGATCATGCTGTGCGATAAGCTTGTAGGGTTTGACGTCTTATCAAATCTTTTGGGAAATTTATGAGCAACATAAAACCAATAGTGAGGCTTGCAGGCTTGGGGCTCAGACCAAATCGGCAAAAAAGGACAAGAGGCAACAATGGTGGAACAGCGGGCCGGTCTTCGATCAGTCAAGCCAAACCCACCTCCACATACTCCTGAAACCCCACGCACTGCTCGCCCCCTGCTACCTCATTGTGCGCCCACCTCGCCAATTTTTGCTACAGTTTCCCGCTCAAGTGCCAGACAATGTCGGAAGAGCCTATCGATCACGACGCCATTGCTCTTGCCAAGCTCGGATAGTGGGTTCCGACACGCAACTCTCTCCATGAGATCCCAGCTCACTCTTCTGCTTCGAACTCTTCCACCGAAACTGTTTTCTTTTCCCTGATTCGTAATCGTATATGATCCTCTCAGTCGGCAGAGGTGTGTGACAATCAGCAGATCGGTGGCGCAACGGAAATACGATCATTGGATCCACTGACACTCGTTGATCCTTCAATATTCAGTTTCTCGCGAGGTCTCGGCGTCTTTGAGAACTTCGCAGCTTCGTTCTCCACCAGTGAGTTGCCAGTGTACACTTCAAATGCGATTTTATATATTAGGCTGTGGCTGTTATGTCGCTGATTGCTCTGTTCTTGATAACCCATCTGCAATCAATCAATCACTACAGTCGCCTTCACTGTCGGCGTGCCCCAACTCTTTGGATATGCCCTGTACACAGGTAAGCTCCGAGTCCCATTGGCTCTACTGTTGTCACTTCGATCATGTGACGTGAACGTCTCTCTCCATCGCCATCATCAACAGGCGGCCCCTTGGCTGGTGAGTTCCCTGAAACATTTTGTAAATCCCCGACGCCCAACCTTAAGCATGGTGTGATTAGCGTGGGTGAACTGGATCATTGTCGGATTGTTGGCCTTTTCAATTTCACTGTGTATGGCGGAGATCTGCTCCTCCATGCCCACAGCTGGTAGTATCTACGTGAGTGTTTGTATGATGGAAGCTTGATGAGAATGAGCAGGTATCGGATTTTTTCTCTACCTTTCTTACACTCCACTCGGCTTGTCCTCCATTCTTTACATGCTAGTTCTGGTCGGCGAAACTTGGCGGTGACACTTATGGACCCTTCCTCGCTTGGCTCACGGCATGGTAGGCTCTAAACTCTTCCAGCACCGTTATTTTATCTCGAATGCGTTCCGTTTACACCAGGTGGAACGTGCTCGGGTGGATCGTCACGTCTCCTGCTGTTCAGCAAGGTGGCACCCTCATTCTTGTCTCAGCTCTCATGATCGCCAACCCGGACGTTGAAATCAAGGCGTGGCACCAATTTCTCTTGACATCTGCGGGCTTACTGTACGGGACTCTCATCAACATCTCGAACGAGGTAGTTCTGAAATGGTTCTACCGTATCAGTAGCATCCTCGTACTCATTCTGTACATTTTGTTCATCGTGAGTGATTCGTAGCCTACCCCACTTTTGACTTTCTCTCGTCCAGAAGCTCACGCTGCTAACGTTGTATTTGAAGACCTGGGTACCCGCGAAAGCCCCAGCGTTCAACTCGGGCGAGTTCTTCACAACGTATGTCAACGGAACTGGCTTCAGCGACGGCTATGCGTGGATGATCGGTCTCCTATTTCCTGCATGTGTGTGACAATGTCGCTTCAAAGGGGAAGATTCGAAGAATAGCGCGAGCTTATCGTTCCTCGTGACTACAGGGACTTTCTATGGATACGATGCCAGTGCCCATGTTGGTGAGAATTATCTGTGTTGTGAATGTTCATGAGT